CCCCTACCTCCATGTAAACAGGTTCTTAGACTCCACGAAAATTAAACCTTCAGATCTTCTGTGTACATGATGGTATTTAGAATTACCGCCCTGATAGTGACATGGATTTTTTTACAAGGTCAAATCTTTAATTAAAAAAATAGACCAATAGCACAAAAAATTGAGCAAATAAATGTTTTGAGATTGTCTGAATCAACCACACCAGAGATATTTAACTCAACTGCTTCGATGTGAAGTTATTCTTTCCCCCCCCCCGACCTTATAATTTATTCATTTTATTCCACTAGCTATTGTTTGACAGGTGTCAACCGCTCTAACCCACCCATTCTTCATTTGCTTAAGACATTTCTAGTTTTCTGTTTGTTTGCAGTATCTCAAGATTTTAATGAGTAAAAATTTTGCTAAGAGTAAAGAATGCTTTAAAATAAAAAGAGCTTCATTGAAAGTCGAACTTTCTTGACATGTTTACATGACCAAAAATAACTTTTAATTATCGTTCTGATGCCATTTTAATAATTGTTTTCTAAATAATTTCTTTTTTTTTTGGATTTTACAATACAACCTAAAACAACCAACAGCTTTAGAAATTTTTTTTTTATTGAGATCTTTCATCGTATTCACATCCAGCTCACTAAATAATACAAATACTATCCCAATGATTTTCCAATTTTCTCATAAACAAGAGTGGAATACACTCTTAATAACTTCAGTAGCCTGCAGTGATATTTCGTAATTTATGTGATTGGAAAATATTAATTCACCAAAATTAACCCTAACTTTTGAACATAAGTTGACCATTGACTTAGGAGTCTGATACGTGAGTTACCAAACATGCGCTATGTTCAAGTATCTAATGATCTACTTATCAAACACCCCCTTCCAACCCGAGGTTAGAAAAGCATTTGAATGGAATTAAGAGTTAAGCCTTTGGCTCCTAATCAATCTTCGTCTGCTTCTTGTGTTTTTCAACAACAGTAGAAGTTAAGTTTGCTTTTTGCTTACTTTACAGTCCTCTCCGTACATCCCCCCTCCC